TCACTCATCTCTCAGTGGAGGCTTATAAGCTGCTGTGACACTCAACAGCGTGCTTCGGAGCTTCCAGGCTAAGAGGGAGTAGGAAGAAAGGCCTGACGATCTCCTTCGGATGATCACAGCCAGGAGCACCCCACGGAGCACAGTCTCCTTCCGATGATCACAGGCAGGAGCACCCCACGGGGCACCGTCTCCTTCCGATGATCACAGCCATGAACACACCACGGAGCAGTCTCCTTCGGATGGATCACAGCCATAAACACCCCACGGAGCACAGTTCTGCTGGGACACACGTGGGGCGACCACGAGTCAGAATCAACTCAGCCACAACTGGTTTTATGAGGAAGCAGAAGGTACACGGTGGAGAGAAAGCAGCACCCAGAGCAGTGAGCAAGGGCGGGGTGGTTAGTGGTCAGAGCTGCAGAGAGCAGACAGGGCAGCAGACAGGGCTGCAGGGAGGGGTCCGTCCCTACGCGTGTGTAAACCTATGGCAAACCCACACTAAATCTTGCTTTTCTTAAGGGAACTCTGAGAGGCTCTGTTTCTATAACCTGACTTACAGGTTCCACAGCTGAAGGGAGTTTTTTACCCTTTTGACAGTTCTGGTGTCACTGTTTATAGGCCTCCCTCATCCACAGTAACTCCCTGAGGGCATACTTATTCATCTCAATCTTATTCGTGGCATGTGGTCCTGTGCAGGGAGCCTTGTAGGCGCCCATTAATGTTGGAATAAATACCTGCATTTATCACAACAGCTGTAGGCTCCAGCCCTGACAGAGGCTGTGGAATAAGCAGCAGCAGTCAATTCACAAATCAGTCCTCTGCAGAGAGACAAGCTGGTCAGATGGGTTCCTCCTCAGGGTCTGAACTGGACAATGTGCAGTGATGAGGTACTTAGCCACGGCAGCAGAGGCTGCCCGGATGTGTGGGAAATGGACAAGCCACATGGACACTCTGGTCTTTGGTGTCCTCACTTGTAACATGGGGTGATTATTAGAAAGTCCCAGGAGGGTCATGAGACCCAATTCAGTGCTGGACAGGAAAGTGTTCTATGAAGTGTGCAAAAAGGGCACGGAGGTAACATCTGAGCTCCTCTAACTTGGATGGAAGAGAGAATCATCAGCAGCCCAAGGCTTATTCCTATAAGGCCAGACATGATGCCACCCTCCAGCCTTTTCCCAATTCTGGCACCAATCTTCCTTCCCACAGCACTCACTACTTCTCTGTTGGGTTCGATAATTCATTGTAATGGCCACATAGAACTCACAGATAATACGATTATGGGGTTTATTAGGGAAGTAACAGGCTACAATTCAGGTTCAAGAATGTGCTCAGGATGCATTTCTTCGAGCAGGACAGTTTCGCCTCTTCTGTGTCTTCAGGCACGCCTCTCTGGCCCTTGGCCTCTTGGCCTGGCCTCTGCCCTGCTTGGCAATGTTACTAAGCTCTTTCAGCTCTGCCAATAGATGCAGCTAGGTGCACCCCACTCTGTCCCAAGGACACTCAGCTTTCTCGCTCTGTGGGCCAAGTGAGCCCGCTGCTCAAGTCTCCGCTGTGTCTCGTGTCTCTTGGTTCCACTGTCGTGTCTGTCTGTAGGGGCATCTGTCTGCTGGAGCATCTCTGCCAAGGAGGTCCAGCGCAGGGGTCACTTCACCTCCAACTCGTCTGTCTTAATGGCAGTGAAAATCCCCTTTCTGCCTCTATGTTGCTATGTGCTGTCTAGTCGGACCCGACTATCGCGACCTCTCCTTGGATTTCCGAGGCAATATCACTACGGAAGTAGATTGCCCCATCTTCCTTCCGAGGAGTGGCTGGTGGGTTTGAACCGCCAGCCTTCTGGTTAGCAGTCAAGTTCTGCCTCTAGGCGGGCTCATTTTAAGCCTGGCAGAGTGACAAAACTAACCAATTCCAACATCAGAGTTCTACACACTTTATTTACATAGTCCCACCCAGTAATCTGGTGGAAGTTACAAGAACTATGGCTAGAAAAGCCATACCAAGTAATTAACTGCACCACAAAGTGTAAAATGACACACAAGTGTACATGATCAATACAGCTGATTGCTAAGCCTCATGGATAGATTGCCAGTCTACATGTGTGATCTTGGACTTCAGCCTTAGAGTCCTCATCGGGACAATGGCAATGGCATTTGTGGACTGGAGTGAAGAAGCAATGGGTAAGACACAAAAGGTGCTTACCCCAGTGCCTCCTACACCGTGAGGAAGTTTCTTAAAAACATATATTCCTGGCACTACCACCTCCTCCATCTTCATCAGTCAGGGTTCTTTGGGGATGGAGCTATGAATCTGCATTTTAAACAAGCACCAGGCAATTGATTTAGGGTGTTCCAAGAAGCGGACTTTAACAGTGAAAGGATGAATTACAATACAGGGGGTGGGGGTGAGAGGGAACAGTACTATCATCTGTGGCCACAAGGTGGCAGCAGGGAAAGGCAAAGAGAAACCGCCTTCTCTGGGAGGTACCCACATCCAGAGGGCCTGGTGGCCTATGGCCTGGGATGTGGAAGGCCCTGGGCTCTGTGTTGTGACATGGTCTCCTTTGCTGGATGCTGCCTCTGTTGCTGCAGACAAAATCCCTGTGACTCTGTCTCTCATTAAACTCCCAAACAAACTAAAACCATTGCTGTCCAGTGGATTGCGACTCTATAGGACTAGAGTAGAACTGCCCCACGGGGTTACCTAGGCTGTAAATAAGGAGCCCCAGTGGCAAAGTGCCTAACACATTTGATGGATGCTAACTAGAAGGTTAGCAGTTCAAACCCACCAAATGCTCTGTAGAAGGAAGATGGGGCAATCTACTTCCATAAAGATTTACCACCTTGGAAACCCAATGGGCATGACTTAGAATTGATAGCAGTGAGTTTGAGTGAGGCTATAAATTTTTATGGAAGGAGACTGCCACGTCTTTCTCCTGAGTGGCTGGTGGGTTCAAATCACTGACGTTTCAGTTAGCAGCAGAGCGCTTAACCACTGCGCCACCAGGGTTCTTTGCCTGCCTCATTACTAGGTCCTTATGGGAGACTTGTAAGGAGCCTTGGTGGATGTGGCAATCTGCCTCCATAAACATTACAGCCTTGGAACCCTTATGGGGCAGTTCTACCCTTTCCTTCAGGGTCACTGTGAGTTAGAATCAACTCCACAGCAAAGGGCTTTGGTTTTAGTCTTGCTGGGGGATTGTGCTGGTAGAAACTTCATTAATGTGACCTTGGCTGGGTTGCAGATGGTGATAACATGGTTCTGCACGGGTATGTGAAGCAGAGAGCGTGTCATGTCCCCAGATGTGTTCACCAGGCAGTCACCTACAGAGGACCACTTAGAGGACACCAGTGCACCAGTCGAAAGTGGAGTCTCTGCCCCGTTCCACTGCCAGGCTTGTATTCCAAGTGCTGTTACAGGACCTGCCCACCTGCATGGCTGCTCCAGTCATGAGAGGTTCAGGTCTGCAGTTAGGGAGCTGGCAGAAGACCAGGCAAGGGATGCTGGGATAGAGGGGAGGGAGGAACCCAGGATGGGGCAGCTGCCTCTGGAGGCAGCCAAGAAAGATGTCCCTGTCTGCAGCAGTGCTGTAGTAGGTGCCAGTCCCCTAACCCAGGCCGGAAATAACACCCTCCTCCCCTCACCGCACACAGCTTGCGAAGCTCAGAATAACCCCGAGTTCCAGACGACAGGATGGCGGGAGCTCTGCTCTGTGTCCTGCTCCTCTTGAGGCTCTCGGGTACGGACGGGAGCTTCGGGGAAGGTGGGCTGCATTTGGACACACGGAAATACAACAAAAGAAACGAGCAAAGACAGCAAGATAGAAAATGAGACCATTTGGGCCACAGGTGTAATACGGAGGGACAGAAACTGAGCAAGCAGAGACCAAAGGGTCAGAGAGGAGAGACCCTCCGGCCCCTTCATCCTCATTACCCCCTCTTCTCAACCCTGTCCCCAGACAGCAGTGAGGGCAAGAATGAGGAGTTGCGACTTTATCATCATCTCTTCGAAAACTATGACCCAGGAAGCCGACCGGTGAGAAGGCCTGAAGACACTGTCACCATCACCCTCAAGGTCACCCTGACCAATCTCATTTCACTGGTAAGACCTCTTGCCCCCACTAAGTCCCATCTCTGAGACAGAATTCCCACTTCTGGTCCCAACGCTGCTGTCACAAAACCCGTGTGGCCCTGAAATCCCACTACTGCCATGTCAACCTCCCCTCTGCAGAACGAGAAAGAGGAGACCCTCACTTCCAGTGTCTGGATTGGAATTGTGAGTCTGGGCTGGGGGACAGGGTGGGGTCTTGCCCAGGGGTCTCTTTGTCCCAAACTCCTTTGCGGCATACGGTGGCAGGTCCTTCCATCCTCCCAACCCTTAGGGTTGGCATGATTACCGACTCAACTACAGCAAGGAGGACTTCGGGGGCATAGAAACGCTGCGGGTCCCTTCAAAACTCGTGTGGCTACCAGAGATTGTGCTGGAAAACAAGTGAGCACTGGGCCTGAAGACGGGCCTGGAAAGGAACCGAGGCCTGGGGGCTGGGCTGGACCCAGTAGGAGCAGAAGGCGCTCGGAGGCGGAGGAGGGTGGCGCAGACTTGGGCAAAAGCTGGATTCTCTGGACCCACAGCATTGACGGCCAGTTTGGCGTGGCCTACGAAGCGAACGTGCTAGTCCTGGAGGGCGGCCAGGTGACCTGGTTGCCCCCAGCCATCTACCGCAGCACCTGCGCCGTGGAGGTCACCTACTTCCCCTTCGACTGGCAGAACTGCTCCCTTGTGTTCCGGTGGGGAGAGTTACTAAGGGGCCCGGAAGTTGTGGGCGGGGTCTGGAGCAGGGACGGAGCCAGAGTGAAAAGCCGGTGGGTGGGGCCACGGGAGCTGGGTTCGCAGCAGGGATGGAAATAAGAGTCCCGAAGGCGGGGACTGGGTTAAGGCGTGGAGGCTTATTAGGGGACAAGGTCCAATCCCCCGGCGCCCTGCCAAGGCAGGGTTCCGGTCCGAATTTCCTGGGTCGGGGCTGGACCCTGGCTCCGCAGTTCTCAGGCGTACAGTGCCCAAGAGGTGCAGTTCATCTTTGCCGTGGACGATGCTGGCGAGACCATCAACAAGATCGAGATAGACACTGAAGCCTACACGGGTGAAGCCCCTTCCTGCTCCGAAAAACCTGCTTCCCGACGGGGGCCAGAGAGGGGTCTTTCAGAGTGGGACTGCCCCAGACTATTGATAGTGGGGACTTCTGGCAGCTGGGCTTTAGCTTGCCTCTTTGCCAAAGTCCTTCATTGCCAGACTGGTCCGGCATCCTCTCGTGTGCTCGATTTCCATAACCGCACCTACTACCCTCTTCTGCCCGAATTGCCCCCCTGCCGGCCCATTTTACACTAGTCGAGACAGCTGCATCCTCCTCCTCCTCCTCCTCCTCCTCCTCCTCCTCCTCCTCGGCTTCCCGGGTCAGATGTGGGGCTGGAGGGGGGACAACAGGGTACCCACCCCCAGAGCTAGCTGACTGCCTCCCTGTGCAGAGAACGGCGAGTGGGCCATAGACTTCTGCCCGGGGGTGATCCGCCGCCACGACGGAGGCTCAGCTGGCGGCCCAGGGGACACCGATGTCATCTACACGCTCATCATTCGCCGGAAGCCGCTCTTCTACATCATTAACATCATCGTGCCTTGCGTGCTCATCTCGGGCCTAGTGCTGCTCGCCTACTTCCTGCCTGCACAGGGTAAGAAGTCGCCCCAACCCCAAGCCAGGGGTTGCTCCCAGAGAGCACAGCCCGCTCTCACCGGGCGTCACCTCCAGCCGGCGGCCAGAAATGCACTGTCTCCATCAACGTCCTGCTCGCCCAGACCGTCTTCCTGTTCCTGATTGCCCAGAAAATCCCAGAGACGTCTTTGAGCGTGCCCCTGCTGGGCAGGTGAGTGCAGACTGGGCCTTAGCCGTGACCCCGTGAGGGCGTGGCCAATGTGAAGGGAGGAGCTAGGCGAACATGGGGCGGAGCCAAGAGGGAGGCAGTCCAGGAAGGGGCGGGGCAAAAGGCAAAAGGCTCTGGAAGTCCGGGCCGGCTTGTCCCCTCCAGGTCTTTATTTATTTGCGCGTGGGCCGGGGCTGGGCGAATGGTGACACATCCGCTCCCGCGCCCTCTGCGCTGCTGCTGGACGCCACCTTGAGGTCTCCTAGGCAGCTCTGTTGGGAGACAGTCCAGTTCAGTGTCTCTCCATCCCCGCCGCCTTGGGCCCCCAACCCGGTCCCATCGCTCACTCACCGGTTCCTCTGGGGGTCCGAGGCCCAGCTGGCGTTGCCACTGTTGCAGGAATGAGGCTGACCCCTGAAGACCCCGTCCAGACAGGCATAGCCATGCGCCCTGAAGGAGGAGTCGGGTGCTCGCACCAGCTGCAGCCCCCGCTTGTCGAGCCCCCTGCCCCGCGACCTGGGCGACACGGGCCAGCGCTCGACCGGGATCTCCGGCGTCGGAGGCTGGGCCTGGGCTGCCGTCGCCGGCGTGTAGTCGCCGCGCCTCCCGCTGCAGCCACAGGGCTGAGATCTGCAATGAGGGTGCATGGGTTAGTGGGGGTGCAGAAGTGCCGACTCTCCGCTGCTGTATCCCCCCTTCGGCTCCTCCTCAGCCCCTCAGCGTCCCACCTCCAATAAGGTGGCCCCGAAACTCAAGATGCTGGCCGCGGCTTCTCTTAGCACCAGCCCCAGAGTGGGCTCCGGGATGGGCGGCCTTTGCGGCTCCCGCAGGTCCAGGAACTTGAGCTCTCCAAATCTCTGCTCCAGATACTCATGGGCCGCAGTCAGAGAGAGTTCCAGAGAAGACAGAAGCGGGGGCTGGAGGGCCACCTGGAGAAGGCGCAGGGACAGTGGAGTCATAGGGTCCCGGGGCACGGGACACGGGGGTGGGGGTGGGGGCCGCTCTGGAGACTTTCCAGAGGGATCGCTAAGTGTCACCCCTGGGCGGGGCCGTTGGCATAGCCTCACCTCGGTAGAGCTGTGGAAATGGTAGACCCACAGCAGGGTGTCCAGGGAGCTGGGGTTCCCCTTCATAGCGGCCTCTGGTGGGAGGGGGAGGCCTGCAGGGGGAAAGGTCTGGCCTCGCAGAGAGGGCCCCGCTAGGGGGGCGCAGCTCCACCCTGTGTGTTGAGAAGAACGTTTGTGAGGTCAGAGGACGAGCAGCGCGCTGTGGCCCGGAGGCGAGCGGGGAGGCTCTGACCCCATGCCTTCCGGGCTCCTCAGGTACCTGATTTTCGTCATGGTCGTTGCCACGCTCATCGTCATGAACTGCGTCATCGTGCTCAACGTGTCACTGCGGACGCCCACTACTCACGCCATGTCCCCGCGTCTGCGCCATGTAAGTGCTGAGCAGGCCGCCCGGGGTGCGAGGTGAGGCTGTACCCTCATCCCCGCCCGGGCCCCACCCCAGGTTTTACTGGAACTGCTGCCGCGCCTCTCGGGCTCGGGGCCGCCTCCCGAAGCTCCGCGGGCAGCCTCGCCACCGAGGCGGGCGTCTTCTGTGGGCATCCTGCTGCGCGCAGAGGAGCTGATTCTAAAAAAGCCGCGCAGTGAGCTCGTGTTTGAGGGGCAGCGTCACCGTCACGGGACCTGGACTGGTGAGCGAACTGGCCCCGGCGGCCAAGGGGGAGCGCCTACCGCGGGGAGGTGCCCAGTACCCCATTCGGGTGTCTCCCACCAGCTGCACTCTGCCAAAGCCTGGCCGCCGCCGCCCCCGAGGTCCGTTGCTGTGTGGATGCTGTGAACTTCGTGGCTGAGAACACACGAGAGCAGGAGGCCACTGGCGAGGTGGGGCACTGTACGAGGCCCCCGTCCTGTGGCCCTGGCTGGGGCAGCAGCCCTTTCGTGACTTCCCACGCCCGTGCTCTCCTCAGGAGGTGTCCGACTGGGTGCGCATGGGGAAGGCCCTGGACGGCGTCTGCTTCTGGGCTGCACTGGTGCTCTTCAGCTTGGGCTCCGGCTTCATCTTCCTGGGGGGCTTCCTCAACCGGGTGCCCACCCTGCCCTTCCCACCGTGCACAGAGACCTGAGCTCATCACTGCCTGTTGCCTTCAGCCTTCCTGCTCTTCTCCAGGAGAAACTAGATTTTTAAAAAAACAAGTTACTGCCAGCTGCTGTTATCATTTCCTACTGCTGACAATGAGCCTGTGTTGAGTTCTCTGTGTTCCCACATGCGCAGGGCACGTCTCTGTGGAGGGGTCAGGAGGAGGGCAAGGCTCATGCCCAGTTTAGCCTTGGCAACTTCCCAGCTTTTCTCAGACCCCAGCCCCTCAACCCTCTGGCCTCTTTAAGCTGTATTTTTCCATGTGACAGCTCAGCAGTAGAGACCCCTAGACCACAGGGCTGCTGGAGCCTTACTCCTCACTGATCTGGCCGTAGCTACAGAGGGCATGACCCAGTACTGGTTCCCATATGGCTCAGGGTTAAGGCTGCTCACCCCACACCCACTCATAAAACACAGATTCTACCCACCCTGCCCCCCCCCCATATTCCAACCCCACTGGCTCTCCGCAGCTAGTATCAGCATGATGACACAAAGCGGAATAAAACAGGCCAGAAATGGTGGGAGCTGGTTGAATTGTCTTTATTAACAAACGGGATATCCAAGGCCACTACATTGAGGAGGGGTGGGGTGGGGAAGGGGCTACTTGCTGCTCACACTATATACAGATGCAAGCAAGGGGGTTTTGGGTGAGAGCTCCCTGCTCCCTCCTGCCACCAGGGAAAGGCAGAGGTTAGAAGAGGAGATGGAGGGTGGAAAAGGAGGAATGTTTTGGCTGGCGGGCGTCCCCCCTCCATTCCCTGGGGCTTCAGGGGAGGGGAATCATTAAAGTGCTTTCAGAAAATGAGGAAATGGTCCCTGCCCCTGCCTGGAGTGGCTGGTGACCCCCCCTCTTAAAACCTAGGGCCCAGTGACACCCCCCCCCAGGGTCTGGTACATTCAAGGGGGGAGCCGGCTCCCCTGACGTGCAAATGAAGAGGCCCGGGGCCCTGCCCAGTCAGCAGCAGTGGGAAGGGGTCTGAGCCCAAGCGCTCTCTCAAGGGGGGGGGGGGGGGCTGGGCCCACTCAGCGCCTGGTACGGGGAAGCTGTGCCTCTCTCCAGAAGTTGGGACAGGCACAGCTTTTGGGGGGAGAGTATGTTGGGGGAGAGGATGGTCACGTGATCACAAAAGCATCAGGGGTCAGAGGTCACGTTCCCAGCAGGCTCCAGTGAATCAAACCAGTAAAAGCAAAAGCCCAGGGAGGGGGAAGAGGGGCGGCCTGGGAAGTCTGGCTGTTGCGGGGAGAGCTGGGTCCAGCATGGGGCAGCCCCAGCCCAGGGCCCATCACCAGTTCATGATGCAATTACGGTTCAGAGTCATGAAGTAAACTTGGCTGCTGCCCCCAGAGCGAACTGAGGCAAAAAATACCTGGAATGGAGTAGAAAAAGAGATCACTAGGGGCTTGGGGGGTGGGAGTGTTCTCTCAAGCAACTAGGAGCGGGAAAAAGAGAATGAATGTTATCTGTAAGCGAGAGCAAAAGAGAGACCCTGCAGATTCCTGGAGTGCACCCCTCCTTGCTGAACGGCAGGAGAGTTTGGAGAGGACAGGTACAGGGACCAGGTGGAGGATCTGGGGGGGGTGTGGCACCAGCGTGGGAGAGAGGGGCGGCTATAACTGCATGCTGTGCTCTGCTCCCAGAGGCCCCCCTTTCAGGAAGACACCACAGGGGCCTGGGTCATGCGAGTTGGTCCAGCTAGCCCAGAGTAGGAGCCAGGGCCCCACAGAGGAGGAGCCTCCCACCTTGTCATTCCGCTCACACAGGAACTTGAGCCTCTGGGCGCGTTTGTGCATGAAGACCCCATCCAGGTGGCCGGTCTCTACCGAGCGGATTTCAATGGCTTTCTCACCCCAGCCCATTATCTGGTTGGAGCAGATGTAGGCTAGGGGAAGAACAGTTGAGGGAGAGTGAGGGGGCTGGCCCAGGCCCACTCCCAGGCCACTTGGGGGCATGTTGCTCAGAGGGTGGGCACCTCACTCACCCACAGAGGTGGGCATCTCTCCCCACTGCAGCACCACATCCTTGATGATGCGCCCGTACGTGTTGACGTACACGCCCTCATCTTCGTAGCACAACAACATCTCCATGCCGTCGGTGTTGGGGAGGAAGATGATGGCATGAGGCGTGATCTGGCTCTGGATCTGGGGAGGAGAAGATGCTCTGGTTCCTGGGTCTGGTCCCAGACCCGTTGCCACCCCTCCCTCCAGCTGCACGTACATGTACAGGGATGTAGATGTCATAGCTGTTCCCCGAGTCAACATCCACCGCGTGGAAGCCAGCACTGGAGCCATAGATGACCTTGAGCCGCTGGCCCTCTTCCACTGTCAGGTCAACCAGCAGAGGGCGGTGTGGAAGGTCGGCAAAGGACTGTGGGGGAGACACGGGCTCAGATGCAGAAAGGTGGGAGCCACATGCAGAGCAGTGCTGGGGGACTGAGACTGGCTTTACCTTGAAGGCCATGAATTTGTGGTAGGGTTTGGGCGCCCAGGCATACACCTCCACGGAGCTCTTCAGGGCAATGACCAGGAACTTGATACGTTCATATTTCACTGAAGGCAGGAAACAGCAGGGATGCAGGCTACCCCTCAGTTTGTCACTACTCCCCTCAGACCCAGGTCCCCAAGTCTCTCTTAGCCACAAAACCCAGTCCTTCCTGGTTTCTTTCTACCCATAAGCCATGTACTCCGCCCACCGTGGTTCAACCCTCACCGACACGGTAGTGCCCGCAGCCCTCCATGTCCCCCACAGTGGTCCAGCCCTGCTTCTTCTCCACTTCTGGGTCATTGTGTAGAATCTTGTTCCGGAGCCACGACAGGTAATACACCCGCAGTTTGTTCCTTTTCCCTGCGGGATGGACACACACACACGTCCTTCCTCACTGAGGCCCGGGCTCTGCTCCCCACCATCCTTTTCCTGCTGAGCCCCACAAGGGTGAGAGAGTGTGACCCAGGCTCCCAGCCGCTTGCCCTCCTCCCAGGAGGGGACAGAGAGCAAGGGCTGCGCCCGGCCGCCGGCTGCCCACCGCCCACTCCGCGCACAGACCTGAGATGGTGATGAGCAGGTTGAGCCCTTCCAGCACATCCATCTGCTGGAAGCGCCGCCGCCCGATGAGCCCGTACACCTTGCCCTGCCCACTGCGGTCCAGCAACATCAGCCCGTTCTCCGTGCCCACCAGCAGGTTGACTCCTGCAATAGCAGCCCTTGGGCAGATCAGAGGCAGAGCCAGGCCCTCACTTGACTGGGAGCCCAGGAGCCACACCAGAAGCCCCCGTTTCCCTCCCAGCCCTGGCTTACCCCAAAGGGCCGCACAGAGGATCTCGGAATTGAATCGCTTCTTGTACTTCCGAATTTCAGGAGTCTCACTGTGGGCCCGGGTATTGGTGGGGTTCACATTGACCACAGAGCCCTTCCTCACGTCATACTGCAGCTGATCGAGCCGACTTCCCTCTCCACCCACTAGGGCTGCCGAGGAGAGGAGAGGAAAGAAGACTGGGCTGCGACTCCCTCAGCCCTGCCCCTTGTGGCCCCATCCCGCTCCACCAGACTTGACCTCTCAATGTTCAGAAGAAAGGGAAAAGAATGGCAAACAAAGGGACGGACAGAGGACCGGGCAGGACGCTGAAGGATTTGAGTCTGAGCTCGGCCGTTCATCACTTTTGGACTTCTGACCAGGGCCCCCCACCCCCCTGAGTGAACGTCCTCTTTCATTAAAGAAGTCTCCCAAGCCTTCCTTGCCTCTGTGCCAGGGCAGGGGCTGAGGCCCAAGAAGGGGGCTGTGGTGGTATTTCTGAAGCCGTGTCATCACCAGCCCTGGGCTGCCCCTCCAGACTGCTGCCCTGTAGACCTGTGCTCTGCCCTCACCTGTGATGGGGATGGTATCTCCATTGCCGCCAGGCTGGTAGATCCCCAGATCCACGAACATTGTGAACGAGCTCTTGCCAGGGGCCTTTACTAGCCCACGAGACTGGTACTATGAGGGAGGGAGGGCAGCAGTGAGGCACCCAGGCAGACCCAACCTGGGGCCCCACCCTGCTTTGATTCCCAGGCCCAGGGCCCACGCTGGGAAACCCTGGTCCAACCAGGTCATATGCACCCTGCCCCGCCCATGCAGTGCCTCCCTGGCACATCCTCCCAGGTCCCCTGCTCACTGCCAGTGCTCTGCCCTTGCCAGTCTCCCCCACGGATCTGCCTCCACGCCCACTTACATCGCTGCCACCATCCTTCGATGGGGGGCTCTGGCCTTTGCTGTTCTCAGTGGGCGAGTGGCTGGGCTGAACCACGTCGGGCAAGTTTGTGTAACCGCTGCTGTCAGTGTGCAGCAGGCTTCGCTCCTCCTCAGGGGTCTAAAGGAACAGAGGGGAGGGGTCAGGGTTGGAGCCAAGGGGGCACAGCAGGCATTAGGGAGAGCAGGGAGGGCCACTCACCCGCTGGACCACCATGGTCCCTCCCCCGAATGGGGTCTGGTTCCCAGTTATCTCTTCAACATCATGGACCACCATGGTGCTGACACTGTCTGTGTCCCCATCGCTGCTGTGGGAGAAAGGAAGGTCATGAGGTACCAGCCACATAAAGGCACAGGCTGCAGGTGACGGCTAGATCCAGCTCTCCTCAAAAGGAACCATACTCAGCCCCCACTGAGCGGCCTTGGGTCCACCCCGTGAACTGCCCTGTGCTTGGCACTTAGGGAAGGTTGGCTGCAAGAGGCACAGACGCACCTGAGGAGGGCCTCCCCCGACACAGTGATGTGATGGTGCGAAAGCACACGGCACCCTCACCCCGTTCTCTACAAACAGTCCTTCCAGCACGGCCAGGCCAGCAGTGAGGCCAGGGTTCTCTACTCTGGGAAGGGGTACTTCCTGCTTCAGACCTGCCCCTCCTGTCCCCGACATCCTTCCTCTGCCCACGCCTGTTGTACCGGACCATACCGGGCTCCAGGGGTGTCCCTGCTGCCCTCGGATGGCTCGCCGTCGCCCTCCTCCTCGTCCTCT